GGAACCTTCTTGCGGGGGTGAAGATTTTTTCAAGATCTGTGTGACACTCTTACAGTCGATCGTCACGTCAAAATCACCGGAAACCCATTTGAAAAGTTCCAGAAGTGCTCTTTGTTCAGCAGCAGGCACCGTGAGGTTCCTATCCAGACAAGAAATACTGGCAACCCTTTGAGGACCTTCCGAAGTTAAAGTGTAGGCTGCAATGGCCCATGACACACACCTTAAGCGATCGTCAGAGCTGCCTGGGCCGCCCGAAGCATCGGTCGCAAACACGAAAGCAGCAGCATCGAGCACACAGCCATCCTTCCACAAGCCTTCAACACGAAGACCTTGCAAGTGGCCCCCATGGTGCGGCATCACCATGTGACACCAGGGCATGAGGCCTCGAAGCCACAAGCTGTCCCACGGAAAATCCCCGCGGGCTCGCCTGAGATGTTCCGGTTCGGGGAAGCGCTCAGTGATGGCCGGGCATTCCCACAGCACATGCTGAAGGTTGAGCCGGCACTTGCATCGGCTGCAGTAGCCAGGTTTTGACTCACTCAAAAGTGCACCTTGCCAAAGGGCCTTGAGACTCACAAGGGTGTTTTTGTTAAAGAATTTTTCCTCAGAAGTTTCTTGGGCACTGCTAGGTCAACCCCTTGTTTAAGCAATTGGCAGCCTTCTAAGACAGCAATGCGCTCCCTCACCCGAGCCTGGTGCAGCCTGGAAATCCATTGCAACACCTGGCGGCAGGTGTCCTGCGACTTCCAATCTACACTGAGGGAGGTACTACTATGCACCCACTGACAAGGGTCCGACGCCTCCACTCCCAGTTCACTGAGATAGGCCTGGGTAGCCGCAAGAGGTCCAGCAACTCGCAGCCACGGGTACTTGCCCCCATGAATCCTGTGCCACTGCGCTCGCCAAGCACTGTGGAACTTCTCTTGCTCCTGCACAGCCCACTTGTGAAAAACCCTAGCGACTGCCTTGAAATGGTGACGTAAAATCGTAGCAAAACATGAACTTTCTATCGTGCGGACTGAGTCACGCGCCACAATTGGGCCTTCCGGAGCAGAGCTCAACGGGGGGTCGGGGTGAAACATGGCTAGAAAGACGGTGCCTATACAAGTACGCCACCAGGGAGGAGCTCACCCGGGGCGATTCTGTGAGACACTAACATCCTCCTGAGGAGTAGCTCACCCAGGGTGTTAGTGCAGGAGCGGCCAGACATGCCTGCAGGGGCGGGGAACTTACCCAAGCAGCAACATTCCAACAGTTCCTCCCTCTAGGCCCTAATTGCCGAGGTGCCTTGTTGGGACTGCGGGCCACCCTTTGGCAACATGGGCACCAAATTCCTAAACAAAGGCAGAGGGCTCCAAAACTTAGGAGGAAGCCCAAAGGGCACACACAACCTCACAGCACCCGTCCAGGAGTGCAGAGGCAGAGTTTTCTTGCACTTACTCATCTGCCTCCCGATGCCCATGCCGGCACCAGCGCTGGACACCGTTAGCACCACGAAGAGGTGTTCACTCTCTTACTAACCTCGCAGGCCCGACCAGCTTTCTCGCTCTTACTGACTGGCCCCACAAGGCTATGCCTGCCCTACCGGCCCTCCAAAAATTTTTTCCCAGAGGAGAAGACTCAACTCAAGGACAAAAACGTGAGAGCACTATGCGCTGCGAAGGCCTTGGAGGTTTCCAAACCCTGGGCGAAACGCTCCAGCTGGAACCTTTAACACCAACAGCAGACGAATTCAACCTCACCATTCCTTGGACACATGCAGCAATCTCTAAACCCTCTGTGGCTCTCCGTCTTGGCTTCACCTTGTTTTTGCCAGGGGTTGTAGTCCCTATTTTCCTTTGCTGCCTTCGAGTGATTCCGTTTTCACGGGAGAAGCTCCCGCTTAACTGTGACAGACTGGCGAAGGTAAGGGTGGGAGGTAGCTCACCACCTTCCTTTCTGGCCAGGTTACTTTTACAGGCCAAGGCTTTTGCGCTGGTCCCCTCTGCACAGAGACCTCACTGACACGGTGCTCAGACAAACGACTCCCGATGAGCAGGGACACTGCCACCCGGCACACGTGATGAACAACCTTCAGGCATGCTTTCTCGCGCTTACTCACATCCTTATGCCAGCGGAGGTCCCGTACAGGGCACAAGTACAAAGCCGATGCCCGGGGTACCGACAAGTACCCAATTCTGGGCGCAATCAAGACGCGCCTGTTCGGACAACTGCGCCTAAACCTCGGTGCCAGGAAGAGAGAGAAACCTGACACAGAACAAGGAAGGCAAGCAGCGGGCAGGAAGAAGCTACCTGAACCCATCAATTCCAAAGGGAGAACCTCCCTAAGACACGCTAGGTCCGAGAAGCTCAGGACCCTACAATTCCTAGAGGGAGGAACTCACCTCTAAAGCACAATCCATTCATCTTCCTCTTCCGTGATGGCTTGAAGGCGGCTGTGTGGGTTGGGCCAAATGTTATGCATTCGCAAGATCCCTTTGTAGTAAAGGGAGCGCCCAGTGCCGTCGATCATCCTTCTTGGGTCGCTCTGATCGACATCAAAGGTCAGATCTCTCAAGCGAGCACCAAGGCAACAGCTGAAGCTGCGTAGGCAAAGGCGCGGGCCTTGAGGCGTTGACGAAGCATGCCAATTGCCCACCGAACCCCACGCTACATGGCCACCCCTTGTAGTACGTAGGAAATGGATGTTGTGGCTAGCAGACAGCTCCAAGAAGAGGCCTTCCACCCGACCTTGGTGGTGCCAAGAGAAAACCACGCAATTCGTGAAGGCCATGGCTGTCTTTCCGTTCAAGCTGTAGTAGGCTTAAAGGGGGAGAAACTCGCCCCTGAGTGCACACCTGCAAGCAGCAGGCAGAGGGGAGAGACTCAACCCTTGAAGCACGCCCACAGGACTGCCGCGGCTATGGCTCAGGTCTGTCTAAAGCTGGGATTCCGAAGCGCCTGTTCCCACAAAAGAGACGTTGGAGTTCCAGGACCTGTTAGACAGCTACACTCAACTACCTGGCCAGCCCACCTGTAAACCAGGGCTTGAGCAGTCACAGCTTGAGCCAGAAAACATGAACTTTCACACCCCCGCTTGGACTGTAATGCCTCAGCGCAACAGTGTAAGCACAGCTCTTTAGGCTAAGTGCTCTGTTCGTCATCCTCGGCACACGTCCGCACGGCAGTCCCTCCTACGGCTACTTTCAAGACTCGCTTAGCAGCACGCAAAAGAGCCCTACCTAGCTTGGTGGGGTAGTAACCGGTTGCCTCAAGACTTTCAGGAGCAACATGCACATGATTCTTGTCACAAGATTTCCCGGAGAAGATTTCACACCACTCCGAACAGTTGCAGGCAAACCACCATCTCTTATAGACCAAATCAAAAGCACATCGGTCTACTTCCCGTCCAAAGGATAGGCCAAGGGACTTCTTCACTCTTTGGTACGTTTCTTCCTTCCAAAGTCCACAGGTCTTTGGCCACTCCTGAGTCAGCAGGACGTCCTGGCAGTGGTTCTGCAACAGCTTTCCTAGCGTTTTCCACGAAGCAACATGCTTCTTCATCTGCTCACGCCAGCGATGGCGAAACTTCGGTTTGTGCCAGTTCTTAAACCGAAAACTACAACCTGCAGTACATGGCGACGCTACATGGATATAGATCTTGGGCGGATTTCGTTTCAACAGACAGAGCAGAACTTCTCCTAAAAACAACTGTGTGTTCTTACTCAAGAAGTCTTCTTCCTGAGTGATGCCAATGTAGGCAACGCTCTCACGCTGGCACGCTGCACACAACGCACTGTCACGGGCACAGAACAGCTCAACCACAAGCAAAGGAACAACCCCCATAGCCAAATCAACGGCTACCGGACGATACTTCAGCAAGTTCTCCGGAAGCTCTTCAAGCTTCTCGTTGCGGTTGTCAAGTTCCTCCACTCTCTCTCGAAGTTGTTCAGGTACACACAGTGTCTGCAAGTCTTCCTCACAGATCCGCTCAAGTCCACACGCCTCCAGCAGATGCTGGAGCATAGCTTCTTCAGGACTCTTCGTGAGTCCGTCGCTCGGATTCAAGCATCCTTGGATGAACGTAAGACGCAGTCTCTCACTTTGAACAAGCTCTTGCAAATACCGATGCCTAAGCTCCAAATGCCGCACTCGGCGAAGCAGGCCTTTCATCTTCGAGATAGACAATGCCGCTTCACTGTCAGACGACAGGTAAATGGGATACGATCCCGTGTCACCGGCAGGCAGGCCTTGAAGGAGCGTTTCCAACAGCAAGGACAGGTACACAGCTTCCTTGGCAGCTTCAGTAAGCGCTGCCAGCTCTGCTTCCGCTGAGCTTAAGGCAGTCACTGATTGCTTTCTTGAGAAGCACTTGATCATCATACCATGCCAAAGGACAATGGCACCTGACACTGAACACACGTTCCACGAGGCATCCACGTACCCCGAGAGCAAGGTCTCCGACTCAAAACCCGGGTCGACCCAGCCAAAAGCAGAGAAGCGCTGAAGGTACTCAGGTAGACCCAGACCCCCGGGTGGATCTATAAATTGGATCCACCACTCATGTCGGAAAATAGAACCGATTTCTTGAATGGATCTAAAAATTAGATCCATTCGCAATCGTTGTACGGAAAATCCTGACATCATTTGAGCATGATACAAAGCTTGAGCCGTTTGAGCCAGTATATATAGTACATTGCATCATGAGCATTAAAAAAGCTTGAGCCGTTTGAGCCAGAATGTATCGTGTATTGCATCATCGGAGCATTATACAGAGCTTGAGCCGTTTGAGCCAGATAAACCAGAAGCCCCAAACCCGAAAAAAACTGAATTAAGCGTTTTGGGTCGAAGTTTACGAGAAGGAGAGCCAGGGAGAGGGAGAAAGAGAGAGAGTTTGCGAAGGTTTGGGCTTCGGGGTTCGCGGTTGAGGAGTTTTGGGGTTTTGAGGTGGTGGTTTACGGTTTTTAGTGGTTCTGGGCTCCGGGGTTTTGCTTCGGACTGCAAGACGGCCTTTTTTTGCACTAGCCCTCTGCAGCATGATCCTCCAGCTTCTTTTGCTGAAGAAAGTTGCATTTCCAGTGAATCACATTCGACCAAGTGCTGCGGTGAGCAGAACGAGCAATCTTGGCTATGACCCCTTTCAAGCTTTCGTCACGATAGGTGGAGTACAATCGCGGATTCCCTCGGTGAAGAGCCCGCTGAATCATGTGCACAAGAAGATGACATTTCGGCCTCCATACACCGCCCGCTTTCAAGTAAAGCGTTAAAAAGCGTAGGTACAGCTGCAGCAGGGCCTGGCAATGTTGTCGAGTGAACTGTCGGAATTCCAACTCCAGCAGCTCGTCCATTGCATGGGCAGCTTCTGCACAAGCCGTCAAGAGTGCGAACTTGCGAGCCAGCTCATCCGGCTGCTTGGCGAATTCATCGGCGTACTTGTGCAGCAGCCAGAGGACGAATCTAAGAAGACCGTGCGACTCAGCTGCTTTTGCCGACAAGTTGTAGGTATCCTCATTTCCAATCATGCCCATAGTCAAGTTCCAGACCTCGGATCCCTTCTCTCGCCACCTTTGGTCGGTAGATCTCAGGTTCTTGTAGAATTGAAAGAGCTCGGCTTTAATGGCCAAAAGGGCCAGTTCTCGAAGTTCTGAAGCTTCTATATTCACACTGCGGGGTGAAAACACACCCGAAGCAATGAAACTGTGCATAGCCAGGCTTATGAACTGCTGCATGGGTCCGAGGTGCCAGGCGTGCATAATATCAATTGACCAACTATCCTGTGTAACCCCCTCGAGCGAAAACAGAGGGCACATGTGGGTCAGCCTTGCATCTCTCGGCGCAATCCAAAAAATCACCCTCAGAGGAAGCTCTTGGTATTCCAGCTGGCTGACATCTGGAAGCCGGCGGCTGGGCTCGAGTCTCCAGTTCTTGCGGAGGCCGTAGCGGGGCAAGTCTGCAGTGAGATGTCGTCCACGATCTAGTCGGCTGTATTCAAGATTTCTGGCAATCGTTCGCAGCATCTCCGCCGTATCCACAAGAATTTCCTTTCAGGTGGGCTCGATCCGGTTTCGACATACTAAAAGAAAATCAACCCAAAAAGATGAAGCTACTGCTTAAAGCTGGGCTTTCAGGGATTAGGCTTTTAACGGTTTGGGTTTACCTTACATATGGGTGCTTGTGAGAATTGGCGACCCAAATAGAGTACCCTAAATAATAGGATCCTTGTGATAAAGACCCCAGAATAAGGTGCCCCTATCTTCGGAAATTAACCCCCCTAATTGGAAGCTTAATCACCCTGGTGAACATGCCGATGTCGTTGTTGTAGTCTTCCGACGAGTACACCAAGTGGCCCACATTGTCCAGGGTAATGCTGTGCACATTGTCGGCAGTCATGTCATCTTGCGAAATACGGCAAAGGGCACACGGGTGGCTGTTGTGATTCCAGAATCTGCCCCCTATGATTTCCAAATAAGCCGGCCAATCGCACTGTAGCAGCGGGAAGATGCTGCACCAGCCGCGACAGCCACAGCGGCACATGTCTTCAGAACCTCCGGGGAAGGCCGGGCTTGAGTGCATTAGTTTCGGTGCCTTACTCTATTCAGAAGCTCCGGCGAATGCCGGGCTTGATTGCAGTAGTTTCGGGGCTTTATCATAAGGATCCGATTATTTAGGGTACTCTATTTGGGTCCCCCATTTTCAGAATCACCATATGTAAGGTAAGCCCAAACTCCATGGTAAGGTTTACAATCTACAAGGATTTCATATGCGACTCAACCATCAAAGAACCAAACAATGGATGTGCTTGTTTAGCGGAGGGGCGAAGCAGAAAGGAAACGAACTTCTGCTCGGATAAGATATCAGTCACGTAGAAGCCAGTGAAAGAATCGTGCACCGAGTAGCGGACCCCATCCCAGTAAAGAGCGATGGGCCGGACAAGTTCCGTGTTTCCAGCAGCTCGGGCCCTTTGAACAACAGGGTGATTGTCGTAGCAGGGCAAATTATGAAGCATCTTTCGGAAGTTGATTTCGTCCTTGCTTTGTACCGAGGGCACCTCCACGAACTTTCTAAAGAGTGTCGAAGGAAGCATGATGGGCACTTTTTCTGCCACTCGTCGAGACTGCCGTTTCTCGAACAAAGGCACAGTCACGTAGTCAAGATCCGGTTCAGGATATTCTTTTCCAGCATGTAATTTGATATGCTCAAACCCGTGACGAGCGGCTTGCTCGGGATTCAGGGCCCAAGTAGCCACACCAGTACCTCCAGCTCGTGTCACATAGTGACACAATTCTGCCACATCCGATCCAGGTAAGGATCCTGTGCAAAACCTATCAAGCAAGAACATTCGTAGCTGCTGGCCTGCAAGCACCTGGTCCGGCGTCGGCCCTGAACCCTCATCTTCCTGTTGTACTTGGGCAAAAGCACGTTTCCGCATCTCGGGTGTATGGACCCATTTCAACTGCAATTGTGACTACATGCTTGGCTTCACATTCTCTGCTTCTATACCTTAAGGCTGGAAGTAAGGCCTGCCCACACCAACAGAAACATGCAAAGCTGGACGTCCTTTCACATCCGGACCATTCTCCGACATGAACAAGCATTTTAGACTTTGGAATGAAGGCCTGCACTGTTTGTTCATGCAACATGAGGTCACATGCCTTAGCTGCACTTCAGCTGCGGGCACACAAACACAAACATGAACAACTGTTCCTTCACATGCCGTGCGGGGCCACTCTCGTCCACGAGCCGACTCTGCAAGCTTTGCTACGAACACCCTCTTTTTTGAAGCATTCGGATGATCGGACTTCAGCCTAGGTTCTCACCCCTCCCAGGCCATCACCCGATCGGAGACACATGAACACTTGGCAGTGTGTGCAACCATGCCTTGGTTTCTGTTTGTTGTGCTACTGAACATGTTTCCGAGAAAGCTCCCCTGCTTTGGGTCCTGGGTTGCGGTTGCGGGCCGAGGCATGGCTGCACATCACCACATATCAGTACCAAATCGATGGCACTGCAAGTGGATCCTACCTGCCAGCAAAAACTCTCAGACAGACGAAAAGGAGCCGCCTACGCTACTTTCGCTCCGGGTCCTCTTCTTCAGAGCCGACTTCCTGGAACCCTTGGGGTTGGCGTCGGCCTCCATCGAAACGGCTTTGAACATGTTGTCCATCTTGTTGGCGAGGTCCAGCATCCTGGGCTGATAGCGAAAACACGAAACAATGGTCACCATGCACAAACGTTCAATCACAAAAGCAAAACATGAATCTAGCCAAGTCACTGCTGGGCAGCACCTTGGCATCGATCTTTGAACATGGTGAGCAGCGGGAGGTAGCGATCCTTGTAGTCCTTCTTCAAGGTCTTGGTGCTGCTGGCACCGGTCCCCGAAAACACAGCAATCTTCAGCTCGCTCACGAACTCGCCGAGGTCGTCCCCGTCCGTGGGCGTGACCTGCATCTTCAAGGCCGCCTGCAGGGAGTCAAACTCCTTCATCAGCGGGGCTGCCCACTGCTCGCCATGCAGGGCCGCTTGCAACCTCTCCACGGTCTGCGAAGCACGTTGGATCTGCAGCACCACCGTCCTGGCGGCGTTCTCTGCCTCCTTGACCGAGCCCTCCTGCTTTGCCTTGGCCTTCGCCTTGGGTTTGGCGGGTTCCTTCTTATTGTCCTTCTCGGTCTTGCCCTTCTTGTCCTTGTCGGTCTTGCCCTTCTTGTCCTTCTCGGTCGTCTTGGCATCCTCGTCCGGGGCCTCCTCGAAGTCCTTGGGGACCTTTCGCTTGTTCGGCTTGCGGTTGGTGGCCTTTGCATCCTTGTCGTCCTCGACCACTTCGATGCCCGGCACCGTGATGACCATCTCGGCGTAGCCTTGCAAGCCCAGGTCGCTCTCCTTGGGGGGGGTTAGGGGTTGAGGGGTGTAGGGTTTAGGGGTTTAATGGTTTGGGGGTTTAAGGTTTATGGTCTAGGGGTTGAGGGTTTGGGGTTTAGGGGTCCAGGCGGGGGACCCTAATTGGGGTTATGGTACAAAAGACAAAATCCCTAAAATAACCAGAAGAAAAATCCCCCAACCCTCCAAGTCCTCCACCTGCTTCAGCGTGACGGTCTCGAACGGCAGACCCTTCGCTGCAGCATACTTTCTGCGTGCTCGCGACTGATATGCCTCCGTCTCGTAAGTTGGCGAGCTGTCCATCTGGCTGGCTACCTCCTGCCACTCTTCCTCCTGCGTCGAGCTCGACAGCCGCTCTACGAGCAGGAAGTTTTCTGCCCGTGCCCATCTGTTAAACTCGCAGAAGATCTCCTGACGACCAAAGGGACCACAAAAAGGAAAAACACCAAAACGAAGAAGCTTGAAACTCACAAAACCAAAAATCCTCTTGTATCCAAGGCACCCCAAACTGACGGCACATCGCGACGTAGTTGTCGGTCTGTCGCTTCGCCTCTGGCTCGTGAGCCCCTCCGAAGTGGACTCTCAACTGAAGCTCCGATTTCCAGCTGCCCAGCTCTTGCTGACGGTTAACGTTCCTAAGTTGGCTTCAGAATCACTATAGTTTATCTTCCTCATAACAAGCAAAAACGGGAGATCCAAACAATGCAGGAAAATAATTTCTGTACTGTGTGCAAACACTGAACAAAACATCCAAGATTCCTCAGAACTCTCGTCCGCTGCTGGACGACCTTCTCGAAGGATCTCTCGATCGCCCACGAGGTCCTGAACTTCTTCTTGAGGTCCTCCGACAACCACTTGTACACGTCGTGCTTGACATGAGGTTCCTTGTCCAAGGCCCGGTTCAATGCCTGGCCTGCTGCCCCCCTCGCGGAGGTGTCCAGGCCAATGCAGGCATAATGATGCAGCCCCAACTCGGAGGATTTCACCATCTGTAGTGTGACCTGGTCGATGGCCATGTTGTGTTCGGCAGCATACATCTTGACTGCCCTCTCCAAGCTCGGTGTCAAGTCCTCCTGTCTCAGGAGACCACAGGGCTTTTTAAGGTTTGTGACATGCTACCCCGGGAAGCAAAAACAACACGTAGCTCCGATCCTTTGGCTTTCCAGGCGGCTTCTGCTGGGCCTTCTGCTCCGTGGCGATCGGGGCCTCGTCTGAAACGTGCTGGAGTGCTTGCGGCTATAGCGGCTATAAGTGTACTTAGGCTTTAGGGTCCTGAAAGGGATCGGGGTCTTAAGGGTTATGAATGTCTTAAGGGCTTAAGCTTTTGAAAGTATGGCCTGCGTGGATGCCATATCCCCAGCCGTGTCGTTCTTCTGCTCCGAACCACCATCCTGGAAGGTTCAAGGGCTTAAGGATTATGAGGTCTTAAGGGCTTGGGGTTTTAAGGGCTTCGTGGTCTTAAGGATTATGGGGCCTTAGGGGTTTGGGGTTTCAAGGGTTTGGGGGTCTTAAGGAATATGAAATCAAAAGGGTTATGAAGGTCTTAAGGGATTGGGGTTTTAAGGGCTTCGTGGTCTTAAGGATTATGGGGCCTTAGGGGTTTGGGGTTTCAAGGGTTTGGGGGTCTTAAGGAATATGAAATCAAAAGGGTTATGAAGGTCTTAAGGGCTAGGGCTTTTGAAAGTATGTTCTTCTGATCGGAACCACCATCCTGCAAGGGATCGGGGTCTTAAGGGTTATGAATGTCTTAAGGGCTATAAGGCTTTTGAAAGTATGGCCTGCGTGGATCCACCAGCCACAGCCGTGTCGTTCTTCTGCTTGGAACCACCATCCTGAAAGGGATCGGGGTTATGAATGTCTTAAGGGCCACGGCTTTTGAAAGTCCAGGCCTGCATGGATGCACCAGCCCCAGCCGTGTCGTTCTTCTGCTCGGAACCACAATCCTGGAAGGTGAAGGGCTTAAGGATGATGAGGTCTTAAGGGCTTGGGGTTTTAAGGGCTTGGTGGTCTTAAGGATTATGGGGCCTTAGGGGTTTGGGGTTTCAAGGGTTTGGGGGTCTTGAGGAATATGAAATCCAAAGGGTTATGAAGGTCTTAAGGGCTATGGCTTTTGAAAGCATGGCCTGCGTGGATGCCATCGCCCCAGCCCTGTCGTTCTTCTGATCGGAACCACCATCCTGAAAGGGATCGGGGTCTTAAGGGTTAAGGGGTCTTCAGGGCTAGGGCTTTTGAAAGTATGGCCTGCGTGGGTGCCATAGCCCCAGCCGTGTCGTTCTTCTGCTCCGAACCACCATCCTGGAAGGTTCAAGGGCTTAAGGATTATGAGGTCTTAAGGGCTTGGGGTTTTAAGGGCTTCGTGGTCTTAAGGATTATGGGGCCTTAGGGGTTTGGGGTTTCAAGGGTTTGGGGGTCCTAAGGAATATGAAATCAAAAGGGTTATGAAGGTCTTAAGGGCTAGGGCTTTTGAAAGTATGGCCTGCGTGGATGCCATCGCCCCAGCCGTGTCGTTCTTCTGATCGGAACCACAATCCTGAAAGGGATCGGGGTCTTAAGGGTTATGAGGTCTTCCGGGTTTGGGCTTTTGAAAGTCCAGGCCTGCATGGATGCCCCAGCCCTCGCCGTGTCATCCTTCTGGTCGGAACCATCATCCTGAAAGGGTTCCGATGCTTATAAGGATTATGAAGACTTGCGGGTTTGGGGCTACAGGACTATAGGTGTTTGAGTATGGGGGTATTAAAAGGATTAGGGGCGTGAGGGTTTGGGGGCTCAAGGTTTGCAAGGCCTTCTGATTGGATGCCCCAGCCGTGTCGTTCTTCTGGTCCAAACCACCATCCTGAAAGGGCTCCGAGGCTTATAAGGATGAAGACTTACTAGCTTGGGGCTAGAGGATTTAGCTGTTTGGGTATGGGGGTATTTTCTTGGCCTTGTCGGATGCCCCGGCGATTCCATTCTTCTGGTCCGAATCGCCACCATCCTGCAAGGGTTGAAAGGCTTAGGGGTTACATAGGTCTTCAAGATTTCCGGTTTGTCCTTCATGTCGGCTGACTCAATCACGTCGATCTTCTTGGCATCGGCACCATCCTGCGAGGGTTGATTGCTTCAGGATTCGAGCTTTAAAAGTTTGGGTTTTAAAATATTAGGTTGCTTTAACTTTTGGGAACTCCTGCTCTAGGTTCCGAATGCTGGTTTGCGGCAATGATCTGCGTGAGTGTGTCTCGTGTGTGTGTGTGCGTGTGTGTGTGTGTGTGTGTTTGCGGCAACGGACTCCTTTCAAACCGCAAGCATCAACCCTCAAGCCACTACATCCTGGCACCGAACCCTAAACCTGAAGCCTTTAAACTTTTGCAACACCATTCGGGCAAGTGCTAAACCCTAAAATCGCGAAGCGAAACCAAAAACAATACAATGAAACCTAAACCCCGACTTGTGTAAAAAGTTTTGAAAACCTCTGCAAACCTAACCCCATAAGTAACCTTAAACCCTATTGTTGCAAGTGCTAAACCCTAAAATCGCCAATCGAAGCAACAAAGAATAAAATGAAACCCAAACCCCGACTTGCGTAAAAAATTTTGAAAACCTTTAAACCTATTAGTTATATTAATTAACCTTAAACCCTATTGTTGCAAGTGCTAAACCCTAAAATCGCCAATCGAAGCCACAAAGAATAAAATGAAACCCAAACCCCGACTTGCGTAAAAAATCTTGAAAACCTTTAAACCTATTAGTTATATTAATTAACCTTAAACCCTATCGTTGCAAGTGCTAAACCCTAAAACTGCTGACCCAAACCAGCGACGGAAAAAATGCAACCTAAACCCAGGCCAGCCTCTGGCACCGGCCCCATCTTCTGCTGCTCAGCAGAAGAGAGGTCTTCGGAGGAAAAGGGTGCCCAAATGGTGGGCCCACACAAAAGAGCTTGAGACATAACGGGCGATTTCGGGCAGATTCGGGCAGATTCGGGCTGATTCGGGCTGATTCGGGCTGATTCGGGCCGGTTCGGGCTCTTTACCGGGGCCCCAAAATTGCCCCGACAAGACTCATCGCACCCTCATCGCTGACCTGGGGCTTGCCTGAACCCTAGCATCATGCTTGATTCATACACGAAGATCTATCCAATACTATGACTCCATGATACCCCACAAGCTCATCGAAGGCTCATCGCGGGCCGGGCCGACCCCCCCTCATCGCACCCTCATCGCACCCGGTTGGCTGGGATTGAAGCTTTCGGGGAACCTGGGGTATACCTCGATCTATACAAGAAAGCATCATCGGGGGCTCATCGCAGGCTCATCGCAGGCTCATCGCTGGGGGGCTCATCGCAGGCTCATCGCTACTTTTGGGGGCATTTTGGTCTCTTTTGCTTGATTTTGGGTGTTTTCAGCAAATTTAGCTAGAATTGTTGCTTTTGTGGTTTGCAGGGTTGTTTTGGTAGTGTTTTCTATAGATATATGGTCATAATGGTTGTGGTGGTATACAGTGGTGGTGGTAGTCGTGCCAGTGGTAGTGGTAGAGTGGTGTAGCAGTATATATATATATATATATATACTTTGTATATATATATATATATACATAAGTATAATGGTTTATAGTGGTATAGAGTGGTATATACTATAGTACGTGGTAATGGCAACGGTTGTGGTAGTGGTAGTGCACCGATCGACGATTTATGGAGGGATGCTGTACCTGCAGTGTACACATGTAGTAAGTTTGCTCAAGCCAAGAACACAACCCTGAAATCCGCATCCTGTACCGTGCACAATAGCCCTATACGTGCCGAGGACAAACACAGGAGGCCGACTTAAAAGTTTATATGGTCTAGAATCTAGATGACTTAAGATTACCCATCCCAGGCTAACCTCGTTCTGGCGGCACTGACGATCTGGCTCGTGCGGCAGTGGCGATGTGTCTCAGGCACAGTGCACAACGTGAAACTTTGCAAGGAATTGCACATCTGGATTTCGAGCAGGCACACACCTCGTAATTTAGGGTATAAAGTTCAGGATTCAAGGTCCCAATCAGTCATGTGCTTCCACCATGTCTTGGGCCTATGTGCCGCCTCGAAGCAAGTGCTTTCTGGCAGAAACAAACTGTATGAGCTCTGTTGTGGCCCACTTTTCACACTGAGGCCTCAGGTTTTCCATGTACTCCACCCACGTGCTTGCATTGATCGCCCGCACAACATCCTCCTTCCATTGCTTGATGTTGTCGATATTTCCTGACGAAACCATCTGCTCGGCCACCTGCTTCATTGCAAGCATGGCAGCCCATGGCGGCATCCCGCCACCCTGGGGACCCCACTTCACGACTATCTGTGCCTTTTGGCGCCATTTGCCTTCCACCAGCAAGCTCAGGATAACGATATCGTTTCGATCTTTCTGCTTTTTGTATCGAACCATGACTTTCACGGCACCCTTTTCCGATGTGTATTCCTCCATCATTGCCCGTTCCTCGGCATCCAGAGGCGGCGGCTCGGCAACCGGCTCCTGGATGGGCGGCTCGGCAACCGGCTCCTGGATGGGCTGAAGCTTGGAGCTCAAAAGGATTGGGATCCCAACACCCTTGCTTCTGCGTGCATCCTGGTTTGGGGTTTGGGGTTTAAGGGTTTGGCCTTCTCGTCCCCAGCCGGATCTGTCTTCTGCGGGGAATCGCCACTGGCCTCAAAGGGTTGGGCGTTTCAAGAATGAGTGCCTTAAGAGTTTCAGAGTTAAGGGTTTCGTCTAAAGGTGCTTAGGGTTTATGGTCTAGGGGTTGAAGGTTTGGGCCACAAGTGTTTGGGAAGGGTGCGAATCCTGGAAGGGTTCGGGTGCTCAAGGTTTCAGGCTCTCCGGGCTCGTGGTTTCAAGGGCTTGCTGGATTACGAGGAGTTAGGGTATGGGCTGTTTAAAGTATGGCCTGCGTGGATGCCATAGCCCCAGCCAAGTCCTTCTTCTGCTCGGAACCACTTTCCTGCAAGGTTCAAGGGCTTAAGGGCTAGGGTCTTAAGGGCTTGAGGTTTCAAGGGTTTGGGGGTCTTAAGGAATATGAATATGTTAAGGGC